GTATTGTATATGTAGGGACAAGCATATTGCAAATTAACGTTGTCCAAATTTTTCTTTGAATAGACAGGAGCATTTATTATTTCATCAGAAATGCTACTCATGTCCTACACGGCACTGTACGAACTTTTCAGGCTACCCAAGCAACTGTGTTTTCTTTCCATTAACCAAACAATTGCAACTACAAATACCACTGTTTATGGCAAGTGGAAATCCAGGTGAAAACTCCATTCATTTTAACCCAAGAATAGTCTCACTGCAGCTATTTTCCGAGTTGTTAATAATTCACTTCAGGGGAAAAATCATTTCAACAGTCCTTTCATTGCAGACAATAATCCAAGCTAATATGAGGAAAATTATTTCCTTTGGGAAGTATCATGTCGGCTGGAGTAATCCAACTACTTTAAGTATACTTCATCACAACGCTGAAAAAAAAAACCCAGAATATATATAAAAACAAGACCATTAATTAGCCAGTGTTAGCAACAGCAGCTTCATCTGCCAACTACAATCAGGATCCAGTTCCTCATACTCCAGTAACATGAATGCAGCTAGAGACTCTTGTGTTCCAAGAAATTGAAGGATATTTCCAGTCAGAATACAAATAGAGGAAATGCAAAGGTAGCTGCAGATCTCAGTAAAAGATGGCAAATGAAAAGCAGACTTAACAGCAGAGCGCTGCAGAGCCATTTCATGTTGAGATAGCTGGCAAAACACTTCAAAAATTACGTAAAAACACCACAAACACACAGTGAAGTTTTATAGCTACATACCACCTAACTTCAAATTCCAAATAGTTGATTGTTAGGGTGACATCAGTCTCAAGTTTGTTGTCAATATGCAGTGTCATTCACCTCTTCCTCAGATATACTGTGTGTTGATACTTCAGCAAACAGCCCAACTTTGGGGTCTTTCTAGTCCTAAAATGTAATGGGCTTTATTTTCAACAGCATGAAAATTATTCTGGCACTTCAGCCCATTAGCAAAAGCATTAAATCATTTAAACTCTTCAGGTGCAAAGATCTTAAGATAACACACAAGTAACAGGGTTATGTAGGAATCTTACCATTTCTTTACTTCAGAATTTTTGTATCTCATTAACTTCTGTGAATTGGTAACAGAAGACTACTAGGCATGGTAGCTGTGTCAGTGACAGTAGATAATGGTCCGTGGTGAAACAGACGAAAACACAAAAGTACTGTTTGGTATGGGCTGTGAGAACATAACCTTGAAAATAGCAGAGTTAACACCGCTGCTAGCAAAAGGGAGTCTTATACCAGTTGCAAGACACATGAGGTAATGGTCCGTTGGTGGCTCCTTCCTAAAAATCCCCTAAAAGTCCTGCAGATTTGGAAATCCCCTAACAGAGACCCTTTTGTAATAGCTGTGCAGTTGTGGCAAATAGCCGTAACTGGCCACTCCTTCTGATGTAGGCTGGCCCCCTACGTTGGAGTAATTATGCACTTTTGCTAGCATAAAAACCCAAGCCTCATGCAACGTGGGGAGGCAGAACCTCATACCACCCAGGCCAACGCTGCCTCTGAGGGGATGCCAGCTAAGGTTGAGCCTGCCACCTCACAATGTGATGATGTCTCTCGGAGCTGGTTTCCTGTTTGTCATCACATGGTCTTTGGGGTTGGTAAGATAAACACTCACCAAAAATATTCATCACTGTTTCTTTTACCATTTGCTGGTTCTTCCTCCCTCTTTTCCTATAGCAATAAACTAGTTGGGTTTTTTTATCCACTGTGTCTCTTCTCTCTCTCAACCTGGAATCCTTGAACTGTGGAAGAGTGGCCAAGGAGGCATAAACTGTATTTCTTACTTAGCCTTATCAAACACACCTAGAGATTTCCAAGAACAGCCTGCTCATTCCACCAACTTTTGCAGTTTTTACTGAGACAAGGAGGCACAAAATCACAAAATGAAATATAAACCTTCCCTTCTGTTTGATGTTCAGAAGTGTGTTTACATCCTTCCCTATTTACATGACATTTGCCATTCTAGCATAGTGAAAAACTTCTATCCCTCCAGGCTACACAATCAATTCCCCCACCCACAAACACAGACGAAGTATGTGACAATGAAGTTTTCAAATTTCCAAATGACAGCAGTTGCAAGAAATACACAGCAGTTTCAGAAAAAAAGAAGTTTTAGTGCAGCTAAATTTCTATTAATAATAACACTATGCCAACGGAAGTCTTCATTTATTTCCACACATCCAAGTTGTTATTACATGTATGCCATTTAATTTTTTTTTTATTTGAACATTAAGGTAATTACAGTTGGAGGGCTCATATTCCCAGTGGCCTCTCTGCAGCAGGTACCACCAGAGCAAAACATGAAACATTCCACATGGTTAACAATGACATATGTGTTACCAGAAGTACAATAATCATTTTTTTTGCTAACAGATCACATAAAAGAGTATGTAACTGGATCATTTCCTTTAACAGAAATATCAGACTTAGTACTGCATTTGTTTAATTTCAATATGAACATCTCTACATAAGAGCAACATTGTACATGACAGTTCGATATATCACACATATGGTACTTTGGCAGCTCTAACTGTGATGAATTTTCCCTCCTAAGCTCCACAATAGGTTTAACTTGTAAAACATATTGCTAATACGCCCCACATAAATATCAAGAACCAAATGCATCTTTCTTTTGCCACCTTAATGGGAAAGGGAGCAGTGTTTTTATCTCTTATTACACAGCCTTTTCATACATGCACCATCTTCTTCTACATGTCCCTAACTACCATTTTGTCTGCAAGAAAAGTCTTTATTCAAGAAAGTCTGAATTTTCTTCTCAAATTAGAAAGACTACAGCCCTAGACAATTTCATGACAAATCACTATCAATCACTATATTAAAAGCTTTTCACTTACTCCCCCTCAAATTAATGAATTTAATTCTCCGCCATCCTGAACACAATCATATTCTCTGATAGACAGCATCCAATGACCTGCTACCACAGCCATCAAAGTGAGGACAACATTCCCTCTAACATAATCATGCACTTTAGAGTAGTCATGTGAAAGTATTGAGGTAAAATGGGTGAAACCTGGTTACAAAATTTCAGATTTCAAGAAAAAAAATCATGTACATACTGCAAACACCTAGACCCTGTTGATAGCGATCTGAAGCAATTTATTTCATTCACTCATCTGTGAAATTTTAGCATATTCATATTTATCCTATTTGTCCAAAGATCCCTACATTTAAGAGTCACTCAAAAAAGTAACATTGTGCTCAAAAATGCATTTGCTCCCCAAAAACACCTCTTTACCCTTTTATTCACCCTCAAGCAGTTCTTAAAAACCTCAAGATTTCCTGAGCTGTACAAAAAACAATCTTAACTTCCTACGCAATATGCCATACGTTAAAGAGCAGGCAGAGATATCCAACATAATATTGAATTTAACAATATGTATTTAATTTGATGAAGCCACCCTCCCTCATCCTTCAACAAGTATTCGCATTAAATTACAAACCGTGCAGAACAGAACAGTCTGTGTATGCACATCCATGCATGACTGCAATAAAACCTATCATATTAAGATATTCCAAAATTGAATACTAAATCCTGTCTGTACAAAACTTGAAGATTACATTAAATTTAACATTGAATGAGAAAATTACAGCCAAACCAATTAGGTAGTACATTCACTATGTAGACTAGAAATGTCAGTTCTCATGAACTGGATTCATCTTCTTCCTTCGATTAACTGAACTAAGTCAGAAAATAAACTCTCCTTCAATTCTGCTTATGTACAAGTCTTCACTGTAGGCATTATGTCAGCTAACTTTGATTTTTCACCACTAACTTCTGCACTGGTGTACCCTTATCTCTCCAAGTTCTACTCAAACATATTCTCCCTTCTTCATCCCATTGTTTGTGACAGCTATCAAGAAGCCCCTTCAGATGACGCAGCATCTGGTCTAATAGAGCTTCCACTGGGCAGCACTTATCAGAACAGTACAATGGTTGACAGTGAAGTCCACTGTAGTCATGATGCACTATGCACCAATCCTCCGCTGTAAGTGCCAAATATCTTCTGTACAAAAGATAAACCAGCTGTGTACATGTAAGCTGCACAAAGCAAGCCAAGTGATTTGGGCAGGCAGCATGGACAGAGCAAATGCTCCATCCCTGGCAGTGTTCGCAGCAGACAGGCTGGAAAGGGCACAGAAAAACCTTGTCTAGTGGAAAGCTACGATGCAGGGCAGTTGGAAGTAGATGATATTTAAGGTCCCTTCCAACCCAAACAGTCCTATGATTCTATGGTAGCCAGACCATTTTGGCTGAGGAAGTTTTAATACTGCTTAACTGTTAACCTGTGTTACAGCCTAGTTTAAGCATCTTTGTTAATGCAGTACACTCAAATGAACAAATACAGGTTAACAGTTCTTTCCTGTAGGTGACTAGTTAGTGTGTTCAATAATCTAATGCAAAGCTTGAAAAGGGTACCTAATAACCACATCTGGAGCTTTTCAATACTATCTTACTCTGAGGTATATGTCTATTACTGTAAAAGTTTATGCATCATATTCTAAAATCTAGGGTCCAAGAAAAAGGCTAATTTTATTTTCTAAGTCAAGCAAGCTAGACAAAGAATTAGAAGAAATAGCATGTGGCTTGTGTTCAAGTGTTACTGTTTAGCATAACACTTCATGCACCTAATGGAAAAAGTCTATACTCAGGACTGTTTACATCTGAATAAATACGGTAAATTAACAAATACCGTATTGAAAATTATCTACAAAGATGTGTTTTACCAAGTATTCACTGTTTGTATCAAGTCTTAAAGAAGAAAACTATCAGGGCAATACCATGGAGTATGAAATAAAAAATTTAAATGGAGACATTTTAAGAAATGTCCTCAGACAACAAATTCATTTAAACTGCTAACCAAACTGAAACTAAAATAAAGACTAAAGCTCTTAGGTGGCCTTATCAACAAATACCTTCAATCAAAAGGCCATGAACAAGTATCCTTTGCATATTATTTATTTTACACCATGAGGCAAATGCAACACATTACCTTTTAGTAAAGTACACACAAATAGCCTCACTTAAAATACACTTTTAATGCACATAAAAAAAGTATTCATCTTACAAATTGTTTTGCAATCCAAATATACAATAGCTTGGAAAACAATGTTTTATAAAACTAAAGCCAATGCTAAAGGACTGCTTAGGACAACCGAAGTGATAAATGTTTCTGTATGGCTCTCTTTACAGTTTTCTTACTGCATCATCAATATCAGAAATCTGTTCCTTCAGCTGGTTCCACTGTTCTGGATTTAAAGAAATACCTGAAACACATTAAAAAAATAACACTTAAGACAAAAAGAAAATTGTGGTACAGGATCTTGCATATTTACTATCAAGGCTGGCTTCATACACAAAGTCTATGTTATACCTACTGTTCTTGAGCTACTTCAAAAACCATCTTAATTACTCACCTGGAACACTTCAGTTTAACCTTAGACTTCAGCTTACCTCTGGCCAAGTTTAAATTACAAAGAAAATGAGTACAGTGGAACAAATACATTCACAGGCATGGAAATACAGGTGTGGCCTTGACAGAAGGCAGCACAAAAGCCCTGGGTGAGAAGTAGGAAGTCACTGGTATTCCTGTTGACTCCCAAAAAGCCATACCTCTGCAGACTGACTGAACTTCTACACGGTACCATAATACCGCGGGGGGGGGGGGCCCCCGCCGGCCGTGTAGGGGAGAATGTTCCTCTTATTTCTTAAATCACTGTAAATAATTCATACTGTAAATAACATTTTGAGTTACTCCGCTCCCTAGCACTCCCAAGCCAACATGGAAGTTACTTTTCCACTTGAAGTTCACCACAGTTTCTACTGACAATAAAAATTTAGTGCCACACATACCATTTTCTCAGTTCTAAGTTTGTACTGCCTCAAATTTGAGTCCAGGTACATAGTTCCTTTGTGCATTAGTCTCCTCATTCTTCCCCTACAATCTCTATGCCACATCTATGCTAGTACAGACTCACAGGCCTACCTCTCATACTCTCACCTGCCAGGCTTTCCTACTATTTACCCCCACTCTCCCCTCTCAGTGATCACACTTCCTTCATTGCTTTCTCCATGCAGGTGGAGCAGGACCTGAAAACAGGTGAAACGTTGAATTCCATTTCTGGGGCTCATCACCTTTTTTTTTTTTCTACCATCACTGTCTTATCAGAGCATCACAGAGCAAGTAGTCTGCACAGAACAAATCTAAGAAGTTTTCCACCAGTCTTTGGTGAGGTTTCCTTAGAAAAAAGTTAGGCCATTAACCACTTTAGGGAACCAAATGTCCCTGAACCACATACTAGATCAATTGCATGCAGCTCAGATCTGCTGTTTTATACAATCTAACACAACAATTTAAACAGATTTTTATTACACAATTTCAACTGCTTAAATAGTGTTCAAGATAACTAGGTAAGCAGCTCCTAAGTACGTAAGTATTCTATTTTAATAGAATTCAGACCCTTTTGCCACACAGGTAAACACCTCTCTCTACCTTATCATGTAATTTTTGTCACTTGGCCTACCCATCAAATCTCACTGTAGTCTGCCACTCAAACTGCATACACTTTTGACTTTCACCTCAAAACACAGGTTTGTGTTAAAGCACAAAGCAGGTTAAAGTCCTTAGAAGACATATTTTTTTTTGTTAAGTAGCAGTAACAAATACAAACCAAGGTATTTTCCTGTACCATACAAGTGCACCTGTTCATACAAACCTATTCTCAGTGGTCATCTAAGAAATTATGAAAATGCTTCTGAAGCTTTCCAAATGTCTCTTCACTGAGTTGCCGCAGGACACATCAGAATAATGTGACAAGCCTGACATTGATTGTATATAAAATGTCTACAGTCTCCAAAGCAGAATGCTTCATACTTACCTCTTTACTTCACACAGTATAAAAACCAATTAAAAGTAGGCTTTTCTAACAGAAGCAGTACAAAATTAATTTAAACATTGCTGCTCTACTCAGAAAGTGTGGCAGGAGGGCCAGGAGACCTCCTTGGATGGGTAAGGAGCTGCTGAGGAAAATTCAAAGTTAAAAAGAGGTTTATAAAAGCTAGAAGCAAGGACAGGTGGCCTGGGAAGAACACTGGGATGTTGTCCGGGAAGCTAGGGACCAGGTTAGGAAAGCTAAGGCCCAGTTAGAATTAAACTTGCCTAGGGATGTTAAGGATAACACGAAGGGATTCTATAGGTACGTAGCGACAGACTAAGGACAATGTAGGCCCCTCCAGAAGCTATCAGGAGAACTGGCTACCCTGCATTTGGACAAGGCTGAGGTTCTTAATGACTTCGTGGCCTCGGTCTTCATTGGCAAAAGCTCTGACCGCACTACCCAAGTCTTGGAAGGCAGACGCAGGGACTGTGAGAATGAAGACCCTAGGCCCACTGTAGGAGAGGAATTGGTTTGAGACCATCTTAAGAACACGAATGTGCGTAAGTCCATGGGACATGATGAAATCCATCTGCGGGTCCTGAAGGAGCTGGCAAATGAAGCTGCTAAGCCACTGCCCATCATATTTGAAAAATCATAGCAGTCAGGTGAAGTTCTCGACGACTGGAAAAAGGGAAATATAACCCCCATTTTCAAGAAGGGGAAAATGGAGGACCCAGGGAATTACAGACCAGTCAGTCTCACCTCTGTGCCTGGAAAAATCTTGGAGCAGATTCTCCTGCAAGGTGACAGCCAGCATAGCTTCACTAAGGAGAAATCCTGTCTGACCAATTTGGTGGCCTTCTATGAAGGAGCTAAGGAACTGATGGACAGGGGCAGAGCAGTTGATGTCATTTACCTGAACTAGTACAATGCATTCGACACTGTCCCACACGACATCCTTGTCTCTAAATTGGAGAGACATCAATTTGATAGGTGAACCACTCGGTAGATAAAGAACTGGCTGGATGGCCACATGCAAACAGTTGTGGTCAATGGCTCCAAGTCCAGCTGGACACCAGTTAACGAGCGGTGTCCCTCAGGGATCGGTGTTGGGACCAGTCTTGTTCAACGTCTTTGTCAGTGACGTGGACAGTGGGATTGAGTGCGCCCTCAACAAGTTTGCCGATGACACCAAGCTGTGTGGTTCGGTTGATATGCTGGAGGGAAGGAATGCCATTCAGAGGGACCTCTACATGCCTGTGAGGTGGGCAGTGTGCACTTGCAGCCCAGAAAGCCAACCATATCCTGGGCTGCATCAAAAGGAGCGTGACAAGCAGCTCGAAGGAGGTGATCCTGCCCCTCTACTCCGCTCTTGTGAGACCTCACTTGGTAGTATTGCATGCAGTTCTTGTGTCCTCAACATAAAAAGGACATGGAACTGTTGGAACAAGTCCAGAGGAGGGCCACGAGAATGATCAGGGGACTGGAGCACCTCCTGTATGAAGATCGGCTGAGAAAGTTGGGGCTGTTCAGCCTGGAGGAGGGAAGGCTGCATGGAGACCTCATAGCAGCCTTCCAGTATCTTAAGGGGGCATATAGGGATGCTGGGGATGGACTATTCATTAGGGACTGTAGCGACAGGACAAGGGGCAACGGGTTAAAACTTAAACAGGGGAAGTTTAGATTGGATGTAAGGAAGAAATTCTTTCCTGTGAGGGTGGCGAGGCACTGGAATGGGTGCCCAGGGAAGCTGTGAATGCTTCATCCCCGGTGGTGTTCAAGGCGGGGCTGGACGAAGCCTTGGGTGGCATGGCTTAGTGGGAGGTGTCCCTGTCCATGGCAGGGGGGTTGGAACTGGATGATCTTAAGGTCCTTTCCAACCCTAACTATTCTATGATTCTATTCCCAACTGTCCTTGTGCCCTCACACTGCAGGTGGCAAAGTTCTGAGAACTGTTCAGTGAAGGCATGCCATAAAGAGCTAGTATGCGAGTGACAATTAAAGGTAAAATGGCTTATGCTGTGCTGCAAATCAGAAGCACAGGGAACACCTGAGGTATCTGCACCTCAACTAAAATCTTTACACATTTTTTCTCAAATTAATCATATCAAATGTTTTAATTACTTTAATTAAAATTTGATAGAAATTGAAGGGCACTGTCTAAAAGAAATTAGAATCTTATCACAAATTGAGTAAGTTAAATTTTTTCAGTGAATTTTGAAAAAAGAAATCAAATTATAATTTAAAAATAAATAAAATTAATTAAAAAATAAAGAAAAACTGCATCAATTTAATCTGGGTGTGTACAGCTATACATATAAGTCCCATACTGAATTTGTTTGTATTTGATGCTTTGTTTTCCATAAATTATGGAGAATCCATTTAGGAAAAACAGATTCAAGACAACAAACCCAATTTGCTTTTGTGTATAATCTGCAGATAAAACTAATCGTTTTTCCAATATAAATGATAAAGTAAAATGAAAAACAATGCAGCAACAAAGTATAAAGATCTGATACACAAAGCTCTCCACCAAACTGCAGGCAACATTTTAATACGAAGTAACACAAAGCAGAACAATACCTTTTCTGCCAGGCTTCATTTCACCTTCTTGATCCATCCAATATTCTCTAATATCAATTAAAACTTTCCCTTTAAAGTCACGAACGCTGACATATCTCATTTTGCCAATCTGTCAAAACACATATAAGGGCATTTTAGCTATTTTACATATTACAGCATTCACTTTTCCCAGCAGTATCAGGATCTAACATGTGACATTGCACACTGTAAGCTTATTTTAGACAGCAGAGAAGCAACTAGATAAAAAGCTTAATCCAGAGCAGTCAGTAGGCTAATAAGTAACAACTCAAAATTAGTTGAGCACTTAAAGCTTAATGCAAAAATAGCTCTCCTACAACAAAAATACCTATACTCTTAACATGCTTACTTCTTACAAAAGCCACTAATTTACTGTTTGTGGAAATAAAATTTTGCCTAAAAAGAAAAATAAATTGTGTCTGCTGAAATAAAATTTGTCTCTAAAATTCTGCTGAAATAAAATTTCACAACCATCTTCATTTGCAGCAGCTGTAAACAGGGAAAGAGAGAGCTCTAATCCAAAACAGCTTCTAGTCAGTTTCATAGGTACAGAAAGCAAGTTAGATACTCACATGTAGCAACTGCAACTTTACAGGTTTTTGGTTTGGGGTTGTTTGGTTTTTTTCTTTTTTTTTAAATACAGTAAATACAGATGGAATTGAAAGTTAACCAGCTGTGCCATGCCCACTCCCAAGTCCTCATGGCACTTCCTGAGAACTGTGGGTAAAAGACTACCTCACTCTACCAGGTATCCCAGAGAAGAGTATTCAAATCCTGTAAGTTTACCAATATGTAGCATCGTATGAAATGACTTTGGAATTTCAAATTTCTGCACCACAGTGGCTTGAGTTATGAGGGTGCAAAGAGCGGGGAGCAGGGACAACTCACACTGACAACTATATATCACACTACATATTTAGGCTCATTAAAGGTCTTTCCAAATTTCATTTAAAAAAATAATTGTTAACATAAATTCAAAGTACAATGTGAATTTGAGAATCAGGAATTGGATAATAAAAACACAATCAAATACAATTCACGCAGAAAAACTCTTTGAATTCTGTATACATCTGGATACTTTTTATGAGGAAAGAACACATTCTAAATAAACAGTTTTAAAACAGAATACTCCTTCCTATTAAAACATTTCACATCAGTTTTCAGCTTCACTAGTTGATGCATCTTGCATTTTGATATGATTTTAAAGGGCCCACACATATCCGCATTTCATAAAATAGATAGAAAAATGCTTTCTCTTTGCTTAAAGCAATTTTTCTTACATAGATCATTAACTCTAAAACTGATTTTAAAACCATTAGGACATCTTTAGATACCATAAGCCTGAAGCAGTTTTCTTGCTTCAAACAACCCTTTAAAATTAACAAGATCTTACAGTTTATAAGATTAGTATTTTTTGAGTGATTTTTTTAAATACCTTCACAGTACTACAAATTTAACATTAAAAAATAAGGTACGATGTCATGATAGTGGAGTTCTTTCATACAAAACTTGGTACCATGCCCAAGTCCACCAGCACTGCTGGCAAAGAATATCCTAAATAGCCTACATGAACAACATCTCTCGATTTTACACTTTAATGCGTCAGTGACTTTTAAAGTCATCCCTAAGAGCAGCTTTAAGTAGTACTACACACAATGCTTCCCTCCCTCCTGGCACTGAATAATTTCTGACCAATTTGTTTTCCACACAGCAGCTGATAGCGCTAGGGTAATTTCTCTGATCCAAGGCATCTTTGTATCTCTATAACCACAGTGGTGTTCCATGGGTTGTATTGATTTATAACAGCATAGTTACTGCAGTTCAACCTTCATAGACAAGTTTGATGCTTTTTATTACATATTACACTGAATTACATACACCAGAAGACACTGAAAGCATTATTTCCAGGTTTCTATTTCTTTGAATAAAAGGCACTGAACTATCTCAGTTCCTTTCACAGCTATGGAACGGACTTCCTGTTATGAGCTTCAGCAACAATCTTCTTCACCACTTTTCCCTTTTCCAGTTTGTCTTGATTATGTAGAAATAGCCAAAAAACATCATTCTTTCTTAGGTGATAACTACATATACTGCATTAGGAAGGACACAATAAAAAAATCCTGTAAACAGTAAGATCTGCAACACAGCAAACTGATTGCGGTACGCATCAGTGACCACCTAAGCTTCAGAATTAATGTGCTAAACCAATGACCTTTCCAGAGCATCACAAATTTATATTTCTCTACTGTCAGCCTATGATAAAGACGCTACACTGGGAAACTGGCAAACTTATTTTTCACAAGTCACAAAGCAAATACAAACCAAATTAAAAAAAATATATATATGTATACATATATACACACACACATATATATATATATATATACATAAAAGAGAAAGGAGAGGGGGGAATAGGCAGTACAACACACAGACAACTTTTGAAGTAAGTGAAGTGTGATCATGCAATGTGCTTCCACTCTGGGTAGTCATTAATACCACATACTGACAGCATTAAAAACCTTATCCAAATCAGGCAGAGGTAGATGACAGGATTTATCAAACTAACCAAAGAACATGATGCAGAGCTCATGCTGGCTTGAAGTCATAGCCAGGAATCCAATATATGAATACAAAACCCTTCCACATAAGCATGAATAACACTTGTCCTTCAAGCATCCACTAATACATCACAAAAAGGAGTAAGATAAATATCTACAACCCAACTGAATCTAAATCCTTCAAGAAATTCCAAAGTATGCTATGCTAACTATAAAACCCAGAAAGACCAAGATACTTAAATAAACAAAATACACTTGGTCTCTTATATTGAAATAATTTCCTCCAACTTACGTTTATGGTATTCCCCGTAAGTAGTTTCAAAAAATACCACCACGCCAACATTAGACTCAAAAAAAATTGTAAAATGCGCATCTTGATGAAAACGCTGAATCTTCTGAATACACCAGTCACAATGAGCTCTATATGAAGGAAAGCTGTATACTTCAGGGTACAGAATAACAAGCCTTTAAGTTTCCCGTCATTTGGTGCCACTCCCACACACAATATGGAATTAAAGAATTTCTGTCCTACGAATGCTTTACAGCCTGATCTCCACTGCAGCCACACTTGTAAGGTATACTGCATAGTCCCTTGCACATCAGACATGATTTTACTGCCACAGGAAAGCACAAAGGAAACCTTCTTGTATTAGTAGCAGCCCTAGAACAAACAAAATACCTATAAAAAAAACCCCAAACCAAAACATTAGAACACATCTAGATCTTCTAGCACGCTCTCTTGGGGTGGAGGGAGAGAGGTTAAGTATCCTCATACCTACAGTGCTGTTTGTACTTTGTAACAGTTGCATCCCAGTTAACACACATAAGCTGACGTAGTATGAAAAAACTCACCAAGCTTCACATAATACAATAAGCGATCTAAAAAAACCTTTTGTTGTCCATTAACTAAAAGGCAGGCAGAGACTAAGTAACGCTGATGTTTTAGGTCAACGTGATTATCAAAATTTTTTTTCTGTATTACACTCTACACTGGAAGAATCCTGTTCTCAGACTAACAGGAGTCCTCTGCTGTCTGTTTTTAGTAACTTTTTACTGTCTTAGGTCAAAAACATTGAAAGAAATCAGAGCACGCAAATATTTCTGCTTTTATCTGAAAGGATTTTGGGTTTTTTGCATCAGGGAGAGTTAAAAATTTAAACAGCTTTCTCCAAAGCTGGAATTTCTGAACTTATTACAAACATGTCATAAAGCTTATACATAGCTTTCCTGAGTTCTAACTGCAGTTCACCTCATAACGCATAGAAGACATGATCTCATTTTTTCTGGCATGGCTCAAAACATGCCCCAGGAGAGCTAGAAGCATGATATTCTTCCTTTGATGAGAAAGTCCAGTCATTGCCTTCAACTGAACTTCTCTCTCCCAGATATATATGAAGAGGAAAGTGAGAGCTGATAAATCAAAGAAAAATTATATATATAAAAAAATTCCTGTATTACAGTGTTAAGCAGATCTTCCCTCAGAAAAGACTGCTGGGGGGGGGAGAGAGCTGAAGTTGTGCCACATCACTTTGCACAGCTGCAGCCCAAAACCATTTATTTTGCCTTACTCAGTGTTGGTGCCATCTTATTAGGCACCTCTCTCATACCGTTTCATAAACTTAAGAATCAAAGTCTCCAAGTTCCTTTCTCTAGGCAGCTAGTCAGAGACATTTAGTAAGTCATGATCCATACCCATTGTCCTGGGTTTAGCAGTGGCAGTCGTTTTTCTCTTTCTTGGTAGCTGGTGCAGTGCTGTGTTTTGACTTTCAGCTGGGAACAAAGCTGGTAAAAATGATGTTTTGGTTTGGCCAAGGGCTTTGTGAGCCTCATGCTCTGCCAGGGAGGAGGGAAGCCGGGAGGAAGCAGAGATAGGACACCTGAACCAAACTGACCAAAGAGGTATTCCATACCACAGCACGTCATGCCCAGGATTTAACTGGGAGGGACCCGGAAGGGGTTAGAGGGCCTGCAGGGCTGGAGGAGGTATCGGTCAGTGCTTGGTCGGGCTGGGGGGAGCGAGTTATTGGTCGCCTGGTGATGGGGTGTTGTATTCTCTTCTCTTGTTATTTCCTTTATCATTACTATTATTGGTGGCAGCAGTAGTGATGTGTGTTATACCTTAGTTACTAAACTGTTCTTATCTCAACCTGTGGGAGTTGCATTCTTACTTATTCTCCTCTCCGTCCCTCCAGGAGTAAGGGGAGGGCAAGAAAGGGGGGGCAGTGGGTAACAAGCTGTCTGTCTGGGTTTAAACCATGACACCCATAAAACAGGTAATTCCAAGCCATGTATATTGACGCAGAGAGCTTTTAGCACACTGCTGTTGCCTTGGCCAACCAATCGCCTGAACTACAAACACCCTGACTTCACAAATGAATCTTGCTACTGAGAAATATACATTCACCTTAAACTGTACATCTGAAATACAAGGACAATTAAAATGCAATCTTTCTGGAAGATCAGTGGGAAAAAAAAAAAAAAAAACAAACAAAAAATCCCACAAAAAAAAAATCCCCAAACCCTGAATCATAAAACAAAGGAACAAGCAGAACTTATTCCAAGACACTGTCTTATAAGGAGCCAAACTGCCCTTGACCTAGATAAATGGGAACGAAGAGTCCCTACTTCGGTTTCTAAGAACCTTTCTTTCTAGAGTCCTGAATATAAAATATTTCTATGTAGAGACAGTCCTGATCTAACATTTAAAGCATATTCATGGAAAGTGCTGTATTTACCAACAAAATGACTATCCAGAGTTACCATGGGCAAAGACACAGGGGTTAGATCAACTGCTACAACTCAGATACTGTTTACTCCGCTGAAACCTGACAACTCTTTTTTTGAGCATCTCATCTGCATGCTACCATTGTAATCCCCCTAGTAAAAGCTTTAGGAGACCAAGCACGGTGCCCCCAAAATATTCAGAGCACCTCATAAAACTTATACTAATTATGACGCAATGTTAATCAATTTTACCTGAAACATATTTTCATCTGTGGTACTGCTTTGCTTAGAAGAAGCTGCAGCACCTTTTGAACTTTCACCAGTCTTTTGTTTCTTTACAGGCTTTTCTGGAGCTGCTTGCGTTTTCCTCTTTGCCTTGGAACAAGAATTAAAAAAAAAAAAAAAGAAAAAAAAGGAAAAGAAGAAGCATGAACCACAACTCATTCTGTAAGTTACAGAAAACTTTGTATCAATGGTCACAAACTACTACTACGCAATGCACATTATCACATTCCTGCTGTGAATGCAGGAATGCAATACTGTACATTTAGAGTGGAATTTAATTTAAAAATAAGACATTAATTCTGTTCACAGACAAGTTCACCATAATACTTCGTCTTTAAAGAGAACTGAACTAGATCAAAACACATTTCAAATATCCTACTCTTTCTGTCCAATAAGGCTGTCAGTTAGTACTTTTAATGAAAAATTTAAAGTCTGACAGAAGTTCCACCTTCCTTTCCGCTGAGTAGCACAAAAAATGCAGGACAGCTTACAACTCTTCCAAAAAAAAAGAAAAAAATAGATGAGATAGTGAAGAAAGATCTGGAAACCAACTTCAGAGTATTTTTTATTTTTTTTAATGAAGTCAGTGTTGAATCTCTGTCCATAGTACAATAAATTAAATGTCTTTAAATCACTGAGGCTGTAAATCTGATTACCCACAGATGCTACAAAGTCTCTTATTTCTACTAATGGTTATATGGTAACCATGTCAATTCCCAAACAAAGAGTAAGATCAAGATACCAAAAACAAGTCTCATGTGCTAGAATCATACTAGGGATAACTGCCTTTAAAGACAAAAAAATTCCAACAAGTATGGGAGGTTAAGAGGGGGGGGAGAAGGGGAAAATGACACACCAAGCCAAAACACCACCACTTCACTGCCCACAAAAGCAGACTGCTAGACTCTGTCTTTTCAGGAATTCAGTTCCTTATAAAAAAATAAATTCACCTGCTTGTTTCCTCTTCTACTAAAATCTCACAGAATGCCTAACTTGCAAAGTGCAACAAAGTCACATTTGAACCAATAAAGCAGCCAGAGTCTTTTCACACACTACATTAAAAGACCCGATTTCTGCATTGCAAACTAGAATTTCTTAAGATAAATTCACTTTTTTCTGGTTTTGTTCGTAATAATTGGCACATCTATACAAACTTATAAATTAAAGAGCTATTAAAAATGGGAACACAGAATTCATGTTATACCAGTCAGCATATTAAAATTAATAATCTCTAAGACATTAATTTCAGTTCAGCTTTTAAGTGAGAAACTAGCAGATGGTATTACAGTAAATGTAAGCATCTGAAACAGAAGAAGAACATGCAAATAAGATAAGCAAGCAACACATGGAGGACAGGGCAAGTGAGGGTTTTTGGTTTGGACAAGTAATCTGGACCAAATTGAAAGAGGCAGGGATGGGGGTGTTATCTTTGTCTTCAGAATTAGTCCAAACTCTTGCCACCAGGGCCACAAAAGGCTGCCATCACATGCCAGAAAGCAGCAAAGAAATCCAGAAAGCTTACGGTTAGATGTATCACATCAAAAACACTAAAGAGAGCAAAACTTCAGGAAAAAAGCTTACTGCAAGGCAGAAAGCATCCTATACACCCAAACCCTCATGTTGGGAGGTGGAGGGGTTTTTTTGTTGCTGTTGTAGTTGTTGGGTGTTAGGTGTTAAGGTGCAACAGATAGTGTTTTGGGTTAGGTGCCTGACAAATCACATGGACTGGCACGCATGCTGTGACATAATGCTCACCTAATTCCTTAAGAATTCCTAATTCCTTAAGACCAGCCTGAAATCTAAGAGTTAATACAATAGTAAGAAACTACACATAATGTTCACCTTTTTGTCAACTTCACTATCTGAATCACTGGCAGATGAGCTTGACGACACAAGTTCCTTTGATTTAGGCATTCTAGGAAGAGAAAAATAACATTAGAACACTGCAAAAGAACTACATCCCTTAATGGCTGAAAAGCCATCTTCAAACCTGTTTGTAAAGGCTCATCTTCTCTAAAACTCTTTAGGACTTTCTTGCCTTTTATACAAGTTTTAATACACACTGTAGATGCAATATCAAACACTCTTCCTGTTGATATCTCTTCCTCTGTTTGGTGCAACTGCATTAAATGTGGTGATTTTGTTTCCAAGTGATTTACAAAGAGACAATTTTTCACCAGTTTCATATACACCTAGATATGGCAGAAACCAAAACGTAAAAAAATACAATAAAGTGTTTTCCTCCAGTTGAACTCCTTACGTTACATTCATAAATATAAACTATTAAGCCCCCTAGCATTATCTCTACTCTTACAAAGCCATTTCACCAGTTGGATTTGCAAGCAACGTGACACATAATCATCACACATAAAGCTAAACCTCCCACCAATAAGACAAAAAGCCTGAAAAAACACCTCAGTTACAGTGAACTACAGTACTGCAATCAGTATTTCCACCGCAGCTTCAACACATCAGTCACTAGAGTCTATTTATTTGCAAAGAAGAGGGCATTCAGCCTTCCTCGAAGGCTGAATGCCAGGTGTGCTTCTGTATCTCTAGTATGCAAACATGTGGTTAGATATAGCAGCCATACATCTTGCCTGCTACTCTCTGTAACAAGTAAATAGCTCATTTATTGTTTCACAATAAAAATAAGCATCCCTGAGAGAAACTGTATAAAATAAACTACACCTTGGAAAGGCTAAGAAAAGATTAAACAAGCATAGCTTAGGGAAAAAAAAAGTAATAAAAAGAATAGTAGTGGTTTTGAATTGGTAGAGAAAAATACATATGCAAATCAGAAAAAATTGAATTTAAATAATGATAATGGATCAGCGTGATTCTAAAGAAGATTAATTTCTGCCGTAACAGCTTCAAGCGCGATGGTGGAAGCTGTAGCACTGCAAATTAAACAGGGCATGGGGAAAGCACAATTCAGGCACGCTGCAGGACGGAGGCAGAGGAGAGCTGCAATGGGACAATGTAAAAAAGCACAGCGAGGCCACGACACCGGGTGAGCCGAATTAGAACAGACAGATCCGCGGTGGGGCGAGGGCAGCAGCAGGGAACAACTCTAGGGTCCGGATGAAGGAGCGCCAACATGGAGGAAGGTGGGGGCGGAAACTGGAGGATAAAAATCAGTAGGGGGTGGTAGGGGTCCCTCAGGAGAGACTGGCAGGCGCAGAGTGACGAGACACCTAAGCACCGGGGAGAGCGAGGGCGGAACGAGACGGGCCAAATGAGGACGAGGGAAAAAGACAGAGAAGACAGACAAGCCAGGACGAGCTAGGAACATCAGGTAGGCGGATCCCAGCCGCCATTTTCCTCCCCTATTCCTCTTTTCTATGACTTGTGTTGCCCCCCGGGGGAAAGCAGCGAGGGCCTGAATAGAGGGGCACAGGCAAGGACGTCCAGGCTCTCCCGAGGCAGGGTGGCAGCAAGCAAGCTGCAGGTCACAAGCGAGGAAGTGGAGAAAAGGCAGCACAAAAAATAAAGGGTCAGGGGTCTTCAGCGAGCAGGGTCAGATCCCGCAGCGGGGGGGCCGTAACCGGGCGGCTCTCCGCCGCCATTTTCTCCCTCACTCAAATCCTCTTTGCCCCCTCAACATGGCAGCTTTTCCTCCCGAACCTGGCCTGCTGCAAAGCGCGGCATCCCTCCCGCGGGGCACAGCAGGCACTCGAGGAAAAGGGGAACCCTCACCACCACATGGCTAACCGGGCGCGATTTCCATCCCCCGCGCCCGCCAGGGGTTACTGGGGAATCGGCAGTCAGTAACAGAGGTAAGGGGTTGGGAAAACTAGCGGAGACCCCGATGGGGACAAACAGGTACCCCAACACTTACGTCCCGCTTCTCGCGCTTGTCCCCTCTGCTGCGAAAGAAGCGGAAGTTACGTCCCGAGCAGTCCCCGCCCCCTGCCAGACATCACGTGGAAGGCGTGGGGGAGGTGCTTAAAGGGGACGCATGCCTTTGTTAACGCGTGTCTTCGCGGTCGCGCGGTCCTACGGGGCTGCTGCTGCCGGCTCCCCCGCCTCCTTCTCCACACGCCAAGGGAGCGCTGAGGGCGCACGAGCGCACCCTCCAAAGGGGAAACGAGGGGGGGGGGGGGATAACGGCAGGGCCTTGTTCGCCCTTCAGCCCAGCCTGAAGCCCCCAGGGTTGTGGCCTCCCTGCGGGGAGGCGCCGCCCGTGCTAGGCTTTCACCTGCTGCCTGCTCTCCGCTGAGGAACTGCGAGGGGAGGGAGGACGACTGGAAAGGAACAATTAACAATAATCTGGCAATGGGTGTTTTCTTCCTCCCGCCGCAGCGGGTCCTCGCAGCGCCGGCCCAGCAGCAGCGCCGAGAGGCGGCTTTGCATAGCGAAACCGCAGCGCGGGGCCCCGCAGCGCTGTTGAGGAAGGCGCCGATTCCTGTTCCCGTCAGCGGGTGGCGGATCCCGTGTGCCTCCCGCGGGGGCGCCCGGCGTGGCGGTCACCCTCGTTGGGTCAAGCGCAGGTTGGAGGATGGAGTTTAAAACAATCTCGGCTCCTGTTTCGAACATCTGCTTTTCAGGTGTCCTCCAAGCACCAAAAACCGCCCCAAAACAACTTGAAATACAGTTTTACAATGTTGACTATTTGTGTGCCATGTTACAGCAGAATGCGCTGTGCCTCCACGATGCCCTGCTGATGCTGTCTCCTGCACCAGGATCTGAAGAGCAGCTGTAGGCTCAGCGCACCTACACAAATATGCATTAGTTTCTAAGGTAAAACAACACCTATTTGGAGGAGAGGTGGGGAAAGGGTCTTCTGTCCCCAGCTTTGTGAAAGGAGAAGACTTTCAGCAGCCTTTGGAGGCTGTTGGAGCATGGGTGGTTTCATGTTTTGTCTTCCTGGGTTACCTATTTCAGCCTGTACTTTATGATGACAACACAGCTTCACACAGAACTAGCCCAGCCTGTTACTGTTTGCATATCACTGTTCACACTGATGGGTCACATAGCTGTACTGCAAGCATGGCAGGCTGCTAGTGTTTCAGATGCCTTTTATCAGTCTTGTCCTTTTCTCAGTGCTATTACCTGCTGTGCAAGCAGATTACAGAAATGGGAAGTGGACTTCAGTCCCAATGTCAGTTTCCAGATAAAGCTATGTCAGGCTTCAGAGCACGAGTTTTATAAGCAATGCCTGAGGGAACTGGGGTTGTTTAGTCTGGAGAAGAGAAGGTTCAGGGGGGACCTTACCACTCTTTACATTCTTACACTCTTTACAACCTGAAATGAGGATGTAGCCAGGAGCTGGGTGATCTCCCAAGTAACAAGTGACAGGAGAAGAGGAAACAGCCTCAAGCTGCACCAGGGGATGTTTACACTGGCTATTAGGGAAAAGTTATTCACAGAGAGGGTGCTCAGGCATTGGAACAGGCTGCCCAGGGCAGTGGTGGAGTCACCGTCCCTGGAAGTATTTACACACCATGTAGGTCAGGCCCTCAGTGATGTGGTTTAGTGGTAACCTTGGCAGTGCTGGGGTAATGGTTGGACTTCAGGACCTTAAAGATCTTTTCCAACCTGGTTGATGCTATGATTCTGTTGTTGATAGAGGTGGAGAGGGGTGGTGGCTGATCGGCCTCTGTAGTTTCAAGGACAAACACCTATTAATAAAGTGTTTAAAATCAAATGCCTTGGGCTTTTTTAAACTCCAAAGATCCCTGTTTGTTAACACGGACCAGAAGGTTAAACATAATGTTTCAAAAGGGGATAATTCCCCAAAGTCAGCGTGAGCAGCTGCAAGTGATATAAGGAAAGCAAGTGCGTAGAAAACATAGGGTTAAAATACTTTTAGCTTAACTTAGGTCTAAGATGGAGAACAATGTTTGTGTTGTAAGTCTGTGGTGTGATAACATAATTTAGTAGTCTTACTAACAACAGTGAATTGTTTCCTTTCATCCTTCTAATGAGTGATTTCTTACCATCCTTCTAATTATCAGTTAGTTTGGAGACAGTGACTCCTGTTCCTTGGGAGGCAATAAATTTTGTATACGCAGGTCACACTGTTTAAGTCTTTGCCAGCTATCAGAAACTTGCAGATACGGTTGGTTTCAGCTAATTTGTGATTACTGGGGCATCCTCCTGTGCTAAAGGTGAAAAGTGCACCCTGAGGAAGACTGCTTACTTCATCTTGAAGACCCCTGCCCACGACCATCGGAGGGCAGTGTGCAAGCGCCAAAAGGGAGGAGACTTACGATAATGAGTACCTAAACTAATAGTAATATCCCCGCCAAACTCTCAGGAACCTAACGTTTATGTATGTTTGTGTGTAATAAGTATCTGCCTGCTTAACCCCTCGGTGTGCAAGTTAGGAGGAGCGATCCCACTTGCACCTGGCGCCTTAATAAACATACCTGCTTTGTAACTCTCTCTGAGTTGTAGAGTCTGATTCTGTGCTTCGCAAGTCCTAAGCAGGACTTTCAGGTTTCTGAAAAAAATACTTACAGAAGGTGGGCAGCAGAGGTTTGCAGAAGGGATCCGTGAAACCTTTACAGCCCTCACGATGAGGTGAGGTAAACTGACTGCCACCACGAGCCAGTTTTTCACCTTTTCACTTCAGTTTCAGGAAAACAGGAAGTCAATACCAGAAATTAGAAATGCACTTTTACCTAGTTCTTAGAAACTGGCTGCTTTATAACATGATATATCTTGCAAAACAAAAATAGGAAATGTACAGTTCTTAATTTGTGCCTGATGCTTTGATTATAATCAAAAAGCACAGTAAGTGACATGCATGCAAATATATTCATTATCACCACTGAGCAAATACCAGGCTTGTCAAGCCATATGATTGAAGATGAACAGAAGATACTTTAATACTTAATGCTTAACTCCAACAAAAAAAGGAAAACAAAAAACCTGTTGCACACAAAATAATCTCCTCATGTAGAACACTAATTTGGGAAAAAAAAAAAAAAGCCATTCTTTTCAAGGCTTTTACTGACTTTCATATTAGAACACCAGTGGCAGTTCAGGTCT